AACCTAAGCTACAAAATGACATTTTTTATTTATTTTTTTATTATGTAATATTTTGCGGAATTTTCGAAAAACTGCGTTCGGATACTTTCTTCCAGGTACTGTATGTCATGTTTACAAATAATTACTATGCTAAAAATCAATATTGAAATCATGGAGTAGGTCATAACAACATTCTCATGATTTTTCAATTACAAATTATGACTTTTTTAGATGTAAAATAAAATATGTGAGGTAATGTTGATAAAGGTGTCATTGTTATGATAATATAGATATTGTAATGACAATAGAATTATAATAATAATAATAATAAATATATGAATGCGTTTTAATTAATACAATATCTGGTATACAAATTTGTATTAATCTGATGTAATGATTTGATTATTTATGGTTGTACAGTAAAATTTGATCACCAGTTCATTATAGAGAGAAATAATTTATACACTCCCTGGACAAAAGTTTCGGTCACCATAAAACAATCAATTGCACAAAAACGCACATAATAAAAATAAAAATAATTTTTACCAAATCATAACAAAGTTCTCAAGAACATGCATGCGAAATTACAAATTTTTGTGACGTCTAGGAGAATAACAGTTAAAAAAACAAAAAGTTCAACCAAAATTATTTTTTTGAAAATGATCTCCAAATTTGATTTACTCATTTGTATGTAAGTCAATACTTTGTTGGCCACCCATTACTGGATATAACAGCTTCTATTCTCCTCGGCATACTCTCTAACAAATTCATATAAATATTTCTAGGAATTTGATTCCATTCTTCAAGTAAAGCAGTCTCAAGTTCAACATTATTTTTAAATTTTTTTGACGTTTGTGAATATGAATTTCTAACTAATTCCACAGATGCTCTATTGGATTCAAATCAGGAGATTGACTTGGCCAATTTTTCAGAATTTTTACTTTATTTGTTTCAATCCAATTTTTGACAATTTTGACTGTATGAACTGGAGCATTGTCATCTTGAAACAAATATCCCCTATTATTAAAATCTTTATAAAGTAGAGGGAGTAACTGCGATTCTAATATCTAGATGTAGTCTTGACTATTCATTTTTTGCCCTCTACTTTTATTAGTGGACCCAGTCCTTTTCCTGAAAAACACCCCCATACCATTATACCACCACCACCATGTTTTACAGTAGGACTAATATTTTCTATATTATATCTTGTACCAGATGGTCTCCAAATGTGACCTGGACCATCTGTTTTAAATAAAGTAAATCTGCTCTCGTCACTCCATATCACATTTTTCCACTTTCTAATAGACCAATTCTTTTTTTTTATACACCAATTTAAACGGTTAATTCTTTGCTGTTCATTAATAAAGGGCTTAGATGCAGGGACACAAGAATGAATATTTAAATCATGCAAACTCCTTCATATGGTTTTAGTTGAAACCTGTATTTTCATTAAATTGGTCTTTTATTTGCTCAGCAGATTTACGATTCTCTTTTTTAACAATTTTCTTCAACTCATTCTTATGGTCAACATTCAAATGTCTAGGTTGTCCATTTCTTGGTAACTCTTTAACACTATCTCTCTCCTGGAAGTTTTTAATTGTTCGAGTTACAGTTGTTCTTGCAAATCTAAGTGTTTTAGAAATATGTGAAATAGTGCTACCACCTTTGTAAAGTCCATGTTCAGATTCTGTTAAATTTGACATTTTTTAATTTTAGCAAAAATTTCAAAAACTTCAAAACAATCTTTTAAAATAGTAAACAAAAAAAATTGTATAGAAAGATTTCAGGTGTGGTTATTATGTAAGTTTCTGAGAAACTATTTTTTTTTGGCAAACTATGATTTTTTCAGAAGATTTTTGGTTGAACCTTTTGTTTTTTTAACTGTTATTCTCCTAGACGTCACAAAAATTTGAAATTTTGCATACATGTTCTTGAGAACTTTGTTATGATTTGGTAAAAATTATTTATATTTTTATTATGTACGTTTTTGTGCAATTGATTGTTTTATGGTGACCGAAACTTTTGTCCAGGGAGTGTATGTGTAACCAATTTTAAAAGGATTGTTACTAAAAGGAGATTTTTTGTCTGAGAGGTCGATTTTCCTAGTCCAATTCCCATTTTATATATTAAATCTTTAAAATATTAATTAAAAGTCAATTGATTGGTAAAATTTAATTTCGTTACAGTAGACGAAGTTTTAATGTTATATTATGGGTCAAGTTGTATGTTAAACTTAGTTTTGGTCCAGGTCAAAATCATATAGCAAACAGTAATTTTTGTATCTATGAAATTTGCGGGGTCCTCCTGGGTCCTGTTAAATTGTTAGTGACATATATATCGATAAAAAGGATGACTGAAATAAGTAATAGGAGATTTGCAATGTTCTGATTTTCCGATTTTTTCCGGCAGAATTTAATTTTATTATTATTATAGCAAAATGACGAGTGAAATCGAAAAGAATAATGAAATAAATTTAGAAGAACGTCGGAAAGAAATAGCTTCCAATCTTGAAGAAGTTAAAACAAAAATGAGTTTACAAAGAAAACGTAAAGTAAATAATAACTATTATACTATTCTTATTCCTATGATAATGATTAATAATTGATAAGTTTTTTTTTATGTTATGAAGGTAAGGTTAGTTGCAGTTAGTAAATATAAACCAGTGTCTGATATACTTTTAGCATATGAAGCTGGCCAAAGACATTTCGGTGAAAATTATGTAAAAATTATTTATAATACTATGATTATTATAACATAATTGTATAGTAATAATAATAAAATTGTTTTAATTTTTAGATTCAAGAATTAGTAGAAAAGAGTAAAGTGGTAATTTATATTATTAATATTATTGATATTATTATAATTTTAAGCATTAATTATTATAATTATAATTATTTAGCTTCCATCAGATATTCAATGGCATTTTATTGGATCATTACAAAGTAACAAGTGTAAAGCTCTTGTAGGTAAAAATAAAATAAGATTAAGAATAACATCAATAATAATAAAATTCCAATTCCAATCATTAAAATTAAACTTTGTAAAAATATTATTAATATTATTAGCAATTCCAAATTTATGGGCAGTAGAAACTATTGATAGCAGTAGAAAGGCAGATGTATTAAATAAAGCATGTTCATCAAGAGGAGAACCATTAAATATATTCATACAAGTAAATACTAGTGAAGAATCAAGTAAGTTGTCAAATAAATGAAAGAATGAGCAAAGAAAAAATTTATTAATTATATTATACTTCTAATAATAGCAAAAGGTGGAATAGATCCAAAAGATTGTATTTCAACAATTGAATACATTGAAAATAATTGCTTTAAATTAAAAGTGATTGGATTAATGACAATTGGATCATTTGAAAACAGTGAAAATTATAAAAATCAAGATAATCCTGATTTTTTAGTAAGTGTTTGATTAATTTAATTAGAAAATATTTCTAAATTTAATCTTTTTAAATTTTTTTAGAAATTAAATCAACTTTATGAGGAATATAAAATATTAAAAGGCAAAGAATTGGAATTAAGTATGGGAATGTCTAATGATTATGAAGAAGCATTAAAACTTGGATCAACAAATATAAGAGTTGGAAGTAAAATATTCGGTGAAAGGTCTGTTTTCAATAAAAAATATTGACATATGAATAAATTTATTATACGACTTTGAGTTATCTCTCTATCACTTATTGTTGCCTTCATTATTGCCATCATTATGTCCTAATTTTCTTAGTTTTCTTAATAGTGATTTGAATCCATTTCTAAATCTATCATTTTTAAAAATAACAAAGAAATTATTTGATAGTATGCCTAGAAGAGCTGATTGTAATCCAACAATAATTTCATTGTGTAAACTATTTAATAATAAAAATTTGCAGAATACAAATTCTGTTATTTAGTCTACACTTAACTATTTTAATTCTTAATAGTACAAAACATCATTCAACAGAGTTTTTCTAAGCTCAAAGTTTTTTTTGTGTGCACTTTTTTTTACTACGCCAATTAGATTGTCTAATAAAATGATTGGACTGGCAATTTTTGTTCGAATGATAATTGTATTATTTATTATTTGCGGAAATTTTCAAAAGAAAATTATGCAACAAGGAAAAGCTTTTAAATACGGGTTGACTCTAACCAACAAAAAAAAACCTATAGTACATCCATCAAAAAGAGCAGCTCTTTTTACTGAAGAAGAAGCAGAAGCAGAAGAAGGAAATAATATAGACAACATTAAATCATCAAAATCTCACAATACAACAACAGTTGACAATAAATCATTTCTGAAAAATGTTAATAAACAGTTGTTGTCTAATTCAAGTATAACCAAATCTGTCATAGAGCAATACGAGGATGCTTTGGAAGAAGATCCAACGGTGTACTCGTATGATGAAGTATATGATGTCATGAAGAAAGCTGAGAAAAAAAGGACAGATCAAATAAAAGGGAAGGAACTGAGTGAAAATGGTGAAAAAAAAGTAATTAAATCAACATATAAAAAACCTCACTTATAAATTCATTTTATTGTTATTAATTATTTGGTTTGAAAAAAAACAGGCTAAATATGTTAATAATATGTTAAGAGCTGCAATGATAAGAAAACGTGATTACATGACTGTACAAGAACATAAATTACAAAAGGAACGAGAAGCTGAAGGAGATGAATTTGATGATAAAGAAGTTTTTGTGACTACATCGTATTGTATCTCCTTTTTATATGTGAATTTATTTATGTGCTTTTCATATATTAAATTGGTTTCATTCATTGATTAATTAATCTAGATATAAACAGATGCAAGAAGAATTGAAAAAAGCAGAAGAGGAAGAAAAAAGAACGGGTATAGATATAAAATATCATTAATTATAATAATAATTTATATATTAATATTTTTTAATATATTCTTCTAGAAAAAGAATACCAGGAAGGTAAAGATATAACAGATTTTTATCGTAGATTTTTAGATCAAACATCCAGAGCAAAAGCTGTTGCAATAGAATCGATCAAATCAGAAATTCAGAAAAAGTATAAAAGAAAATTTGATAATAGTAGTGGTGGTGATAACAAATATGAAGATGATGAAGATGACGAAGACAAAAGTGAGAATCAATCAAATTTAGATGATAAACTTAAAACAGATAAACAACTTGCAGAAGAAGCTGAAGCATCAGGGAAAAGCGTTATATTAAATGAAGATGACCAAATAATAGATAAAAGGGAACTTTTATCAGCTGGATTAAATATAACGAAAAAGAAGGATAAAGACAATAGAAAAACTATTAATGGTAGTAGGAAAAGAAAGGTAGATAATAAGGAATTTGATGAAGATGATCATAATATTTTGTCAAAAAGATCTTCTGAAGAAGAGGCAAGAAGACGTAGTGAGAAACAAAGCCATGAATTGGAAATGCAATTAAAAGAAATAGAAGCGAAGAAAAAGGAAGAAGAAGCTCGTAAACAAGAAGAATTGATTAAGAAATTTTCTAAAAAGAACGATGAAGCTACTATCTCAGATGCAAGAGCTAGATATTTGGCAAGAAAAAATCAAAAGTCATGAAAGAAAAAAATTTTAAATTTTGAAGATTATTTATTATTATCACAACTTAATTTACATAAATAATATTCTAATAAATGATAAATTATATATATATATATATTACATTACATTGCCATTACTACCACCAACACCACCAGCTATATTAACACTTCTAATGCTACGAAAACCTACATCACCAATACGTCCTGATAATTTTCTATATCCATCAAATTCTAATTTTCTTTTTCTCCATACAAATAGACTGCAAGATAAAAATGCTACAAAAATATTTATAAACTAATAAAATTAAATTAGATTATTTTCTATAAAAGAAGAAAGAAGATTATTATTTATTTATGGATCAACTTTTACCTGAAACTCAAAATATTTTGTTCTTTCAACTTTTTTTACTCTTTTACATGCTCTATAATTTGGAATTTTAGTTGAATTATTATCTTCTGTTGGTTGACCATTTGGAGTTTCCCAATGACATTTAACAAGTTCTTTATTTCCATATTGTAAACAATAATTTTCTTGAGATATCTAATGACAAATAATAATATTAATTATTATTATCATTGTTGTATCATATTAATATTAATTACTATTATAATAATCAATCAATCATTGTAGAAAATTCCTCTTAATTTACCGCCTCAAGCGCAGTGCATGGTTCACAATCACCAATCACAATGCAAGTATAGGTTTTATCGTCATTATATCTCAAAGGATCAATATTGTTATTATTGATGGGTGGTTCTGAGGAAGGTAAATTTAAGTTTGGAGTTGTAGTGTAAACAAGTAACGTAGTTGATGTTGAAAGGATTTCTACTTCTGGTTTTGCCTCTATAACTATTATTATTTTTGTTATGGTTACTAATAAAACAATCAATAACCTTTAAAAAAAATTATAAAGATCAGAATGAATTTAAGAAACTAAAATAATTCATAGATATATTTTAGATTTTATTACCACATGTTAATGTTAACATTAACACTTTTGAAACCGTTAACACTTTTTGAAACTGTTAACATTTTTGAAACTGTGTCACGCAATATTTTTTTTTTACTATTACTAATTTCAATAAAATTTTAGAATGTCCGATAATAAAAATTTGGGAATCGCATTTTCCGATTTTCCCGATTACAAATAATGAAAGCCCAAATAAATTTTTTTTATATTTATTACAGTTTAGCTTGCAAGCTAAGTTCCATAGATCACAATCTACTTTTTTTATTGTAGCACTCATGTATAATAAATAAGAAACAAAGATTCAATACTAATTGTGAGATTGTGATGACTGACCAGGGTTCCTTTGTTTATTATTGATCCAATTCTAAGACCTGCACCCCAAGTTATTTTCTATTTTCTATATCTTGTTAAAAGATTACTGGCGAAATTTAAAAATTTCCGAAAAATTTTTGGCCAGCCCGGAGAATGATTGTATCCCTATTAAATTATTTTGGCCCTTGATGAAAACATTAAACCCTGTTTACTTAATATACCTCTATCATATATATACCATCCTAACTTTTTGAAATGTTATATCCCAATTTTAACCTTATTTGTACATGATATACAAGTATACCTAACATTTAATAATAATAGAGAAATTATTCTGTTGATTTCTTTAACAATGAAGAAATTAATTCCCTTTTTCTTTAGTGGCAACTTGGTTGATTCCTTTAACAAACAACAAAGAAATTAATTATGAATTATTCTTTTTTTTTTGGTGGTAACTTGGTTGATTCCTTTAACAACAAATAATTGAATCAGATATTATAACAACTGAATTGCCTACTGACGAAAATATTGTTGAAGATATTCTCATTTCAGAAGGTGTCTGGCAATCTGAAAATGTTGAAATGGAAGAGGGAGAGGAAATGGTAAAAAGGAACCAGTTATTTCTATAAGAAAGAAGGAAAGTATTTGAAACTGCAGAAGGGATCTTGGAACAACTACATAAAAGATATTAGGTATGTTGTTGAATTATTAATAAAATGTTTAAATAGTTCTATAGACAATCCTTGTTGACAGAATTTATTAATGTTGAATAAAACAAAATTTATTTTAAATTAAAAATCATGTGAAATGATCAACTGCTTGAGATACATCCCACCTCAATTATATCCCACCAAAGTTATCAATACAAAAGGGGCGATATAAAAGAGATACAGTGTGTCACAAAAAAATGGCACAGATAAAAATTGAATTGCTCAACAAATACATAAGATAATTAAATAAAATTTGATTCATTTAAAATCCCATCAATTACTCTATTAAATAAAAAAATGAACATGAAATACTATTGTCAGTTTTTTTGTAAAGCTGATCCACATCTTTTTTTTTCAAATTTTACTAAATTTTTGTCTCTAAAATTTAACATGGGATTTTTTAATAGTGATTCTAGCATAAAAGCATACATAATAATCATACAAAAAAATCATATCAATTTTAGCTTAAGTTCTGAAAATTATCATGACTCCAGAATTTTATCAATTAAGAATAAAAGAAATTTGATTATTTTTGAAAAAAAAATTTTAATGTAATCATTGCTCTAAAGCCTATATAATAATACATCAAAATTTTTATACATAATAATCCAAGATGATTTTGGATGCTTTTTTATTAAAAGCAATATTGTCATTTTTTTTCATGACACACTGTATGACTGTAATTACAAATAGTGTTCCATGTCGCAATCCAAAAAAGGAAACAAAATGGTCGTAAAGGTGGTTGCAACCAGTGGTTGCAATCATTT